CCCAGTCAGGGCACATAGAAGAATCAACCAATGAATGCTTGCTCACTCTCTCTCTCAAATAAATTTTTTAAAAAAAGAATTTTGTGGCCTCTATCTTGGCTTTAGCTGAGGATACCAAAATCAGCAGGGGACACTGGACAAGCCAGGGCTCTGGGGGGTGTGCGGGTGAGGGGGAGCTGTATGGCTGGCCCCTCCCCCTTTAGGAGATGATTCAACAGGGCGGGGGGCAGGGAGGATGGGGTGTAGAGGACCAGTGAAATAAGGCAAGGAGGCCTGCCCAGCCCATGTGGCTCAGTGGGTGAGTGTCAACCTATGAACTACAAGGTCACGGTTCCATTCCTGGTCAGGGCACATGCCCGGGTTATGGGCTTGAACTGCAGGAGGCAGCCAATCAATGATTCTCTCATAATTGACGTTTCTATCTCTCCCTCTCCCTTCCTCTCTCTGAAATCAATTTTTTTAAAAAAAAGGAGAGGAGACCCTCACTGGCGTAGCTCAGTGGTTAGAGTGCCAGCCTGGAGGGTCATGGGTTTGATTCCAGTCAAGGGCACATACCGCGGCTGCAGGCTCGATCCCCTGGCCCGGGTCAGGACACATGCGGGAGGCAACCAATCGATCTGTCTCTCTCACACTGATGTTTCTCTCTTCCACTCTCCCCCTCCCTTACACACACTCTAAAAATCCATGGAAAAATTGGGTGAGGATTAACAACAACAAAAATAAATTTAAAAAATACCCTCCAGTGAGGATTAACAACAACAAAAAAGGTAAGGAGGCTGCGCAGGGTGCAGGGTTGGCCAGCAGGCTCCTGGAGGAGGAGCAGTTCTGGGAGCTGCGGAGTTGAAGTCGCCTGGTTGAGCTCCTGCAGAAGTTCTGAGCAGACCCTCCCCCATGCCCTGCGGGAGTCAGCTCAGCTGCAGGGTAAGGACCTGCCAGGAAAGGGTCAGGAGCCTGGGCACATGCAATCTGAGCTCAGCTCTGCTTTAAAGGACAGCATACCAGGGGCATGCAGGGCTTTCTTCCAAGGAGGCGGGAACGTTTAACAGCAGAAAGGCTCCTTGACTCCATGAAGACACGAAAGGAGAAAAAGGCCAAATGAGTATCCCTCGGTGCTAGAAAACATCAGACAGCCTTCAGCACCATTCCTGATTTTTAAGTTCTTAGTAAATGGGGAGTAGGAAGAAATTAGTCGGATCAAAGATTGTGATTCAAAAGAAACCGTCTGCATTGTATTGGATGTTGAAACAACAGATACCATATTCCAGAATGGGGCAGGGGTGCCCACAATCACAGCTAATATTAGATGCTTAATATGCAAGTGTGGGCCAATGTGATAAGAAAAAGAATCGAGACCAGATGATACTATCAAAAATAGAAAATCAAAAAGAAAAAACAAACCAAATGGATAGAACTGATTTAGAGGTTGAAGGCAAGACGAATGCAGTATAGGTGTAACAGGGAATTTTTAAGGCAGTAAAACTATTCTGTATGGTAGTATAATGGTGGACATTATGCACTTGTCAAAATCCACAGAATGTACAACACAGTGAATTCTAATGTAAGCTGTGGACTTCAGTTAATAATAATGTATCGATATTTACTCATCAATTGTAACACATGTACCACACTAATGAGAGATGTTAATAATGGGGGAAACTGGGAGCGGGGGAGAAAGGGATCTGTGGGAGCTCTCTGAACTTTCTGCTCCATCTTTCTGTACCCCTAACACTGCTCTAAAAACGTATATTAATTAAAAAGAAGCCAAAATAATTACAAAAAGTGCTTGTTACTGAGTCGATGCTCAGTAAACATAGATACTTTTACCCGTATATGAGTAAACCACTTGGCACAAAGTATATGATCAAGGAATGTCAACCATTTCATAATATTCTTCAGATTATAAAAATGAATCACTTTATCCCTAGCTGGTCTGGCTCAGTGGATAGAGAGTCAGCCGCGAACTGAGGGGTTCCGGGTTGAATTCTGGTCAAGGGCACATGCCTGGGTTGTGGGCTCCATCCCGAGTAGGGGGCGTGCAGGAGGTGGCCGATCAATGGTTCTCTCTCATCATCGATGTTTCTCTCTCTCTCTCCCTCCCTCTCCCTTCCTCTCTGAATATCAACCCATGAACCAAGAGGTCATCAGTTCGATTCCTAGTCAGGGCACATGCCCAGGTTGTGGGCTCTCTATCCCTCCCCATTTCTCTCTCTCTCTCAAATCAATAAAAACATATTTTAAAAAATTTTTAAATGAATCACCTCAAAAATGAAATAATACAATGGAATATATGTCATCTATTCTTTTTGCACATACTAGTAGAATAGTGATGCTTGCCCTAGCTGGTTTGGGTGAGTGGATAGAGCGTTGGCCTGCGGACTGAAGGGTCCTGGGTTCAATTCTGATCAAGGGCACGTACCTCGGTTGCAGGCTCCTCCCCAGGCCGGGCCCCTGGTCCGGGCATGTGCAGGAGGCAACCAACCGATGTGTTTCTCTCACATCGATGTTTCTCTCTGTCTTTCCCTCTCTCTTCCACTTTCTCTGAAAGTCAATGGAAAAATATCCTCAGGTGAGGATTAACATTAAAAAAGAATAGTGGTGCTCAATTGGGGATGACTCTGCCCCCCTGCGCGCGCACACACATACACACACACACACACACACACACAGAGCCCATTGACACTGGAGGCATTTCTGGTTGTCATAGTTGGGGAAGGGGAGCGTGCTACTGGCACCTGGTGAGTGGAGGCCAGGGATGCTGCTCAACACCCTACAATCCACAGGATACCCCCCTTAATAGAGGATTACTCAGCCCAAAATATCCATAGCACCAAGGCTGAGAAATTCTGGCCTTAACCTGACTATGGGCATTGTTGAGCAACTTGCTTTTGCACCTTGTCCCTTGGGATCCTCTGCAGCCCTCCAACCCCAGTGAATTATTTTTTTTAATTGCCAGCCTGGTGTGCTGTCCCCTAAAAGGCCCATGTTCCATATTCCAGGCTCTTGCGATGGACCTATGGATGTTTTCTTCCTTGTTACTTCCAGCCCCTTGGTGTTCTGAACGCCAGTGTGCCCCCTGTACACACCAGCCCATGTCCTTGGACCGGGGTCAGGTGGCATTCTCCCAAGGCTCACAGTCCCTGGCCTTGGACAATGCCGAGGTCTTACTATAAAGCTGGAGGGGCACTTGTGTCGGCATAGACCAGGGCTCTCGCTCAGGGGAAGTTTTGCCCTCAGAGGACACTGGGCGATGTCTGGAGACATTTTTGGTTGTCGCATTGGGGGAGGGTGCTACTGGCACCTAGTGAGTTGAGGTCTAAAATCAAGAATGTCTGCTTTTTAAAAATTTCTGTCAACGTCGTATTAGCAGTTCCAGCCAAAGCAATGAGGCATGAAAAGGAACTTAGAGATACCCAAATTGGACATATATGCATAGTCCATGGTCACAGACAATAATGTGGCAGAGGCCTGGGGAGGGAGGGGGGCACTGGGTGAAGGGGGGCGAAGAGGAGGAAATCTGTAACAGTGTCACCAATAAAAAACACAATTAGTTAGTTAATTAATTAATTAAAAAATATATATATCCAAATTGGATGGCCAGGGTCAGACCAAGCAGGACAGCAGAGATTTCATGACGCGCCTCAGAACTGTGTGTAATTGAAACCATGAATTGTGTCCCTGGCTTGTGTAGCTCAGTTGGTTGGGCATTGGCCCATACACTGAAAGGTTGCCGGTTCGATTCTGGGTCAGGGCACATGCGCAGGTTGCGGGCTCAATCCCTGGTAGGGGGCATACAGGAGGCAGCTGATCGACATTCGGCTCTCACATAGATGTTTCTCTCTCTCTCTCTCTCTCTCTCTCTCTCTCTCTAAAAATCAATAAAAATATTTTTTTAAAACCTTATTGATTATTTACTTCTGGAATTTTCAGACCCCAGTTGACCTTAGAAAGTGAAACTAGATAAGCGGGGACTACTGCGTTAGTTTGCTGTCACCGCCATAGCTTAAAACCAATAAGAATGTGTTCTCTCACAGTTCTGGAGGCCAGATGTTCAAAATCAAGGGGTGGGCAGCGCCATGCTCCCTCTGAAGGCTCGAGGGGAGGGTCCTCCTTGCCTCTCTCATTTCTGGCGGCCCCGGAGTTCGGAGGCTTGTGGCAGCATCACTTCAATCTCTGCCTCCACGTCCACATGACTCTCTGCCTTTGTGTTTATGTCTCTGGGTCTCTCCTCCTCTTCTTCCTTTTTTTTTAAATCCTGACTTGAAGATATTTTTTCCATTGGTTTTTAGAATGAGTGGAAGGCAGAGGGAGAGACAGAGGGAAACACCAGTGTGAGAGAGACACATCGATTGATTGCCTCCTGCATCCCAGGGCTGGAGCCTGCAACCAAGGTACGTGCCCTTGACCAGAATCGAACCTGAGACCCTTCAGTCCACAGGCCGACGCTCTATCCACTGAGCCAAACCGGCTAGGGCTCTCCTCCTCTTCTTATAAGGACACAGTCATTGTATTCAGGGCCCATCCGAATCCAGCATGCCCTTACCTTAATTTAGATTACGTGCACCTGCCTAGAACTTATTTTTAAAATAAACTCACTTTCTGAGGAAAAGCTGGTGTCCAACTCCCATGAATGGGGCGGGGGCTCTATTGGACCTGGCGGCCTCGGCGGCCAGGTGAGCAGGGGGCCACGGAGCCATGGCAGGTGTGTGGGCAGAGGCAAGTGCAGCCAGTGCTCGTGACCACAGAGCCCCCAGCGGCTGGTGCAGGGACATTGAGGAGGCCAACCGGGTGCACAGGGCAGCCAGGAGGGAGTGCTTCAAGGAGTCAGGAGAGGAGATGAGCGTGGGTCAGGGAGGGCAGTGCCGTGCACCCTGACCTGGGAGTGGTCGCCTCTCTCTGGTGATTTAAAGACTCAGGTTTAAGCACTTGCAGGCTTGGGCAAGAGACACAGAGATCCCTGCTCAGACTTGGAGAGCCGAGGCCAGAATGACTTCTCAGAGATATCAAGCCCGAGTCCGTTTATTGGATGTGTGTGGATGTCGCCTCCAGCCAAGAGCCAGGGGTGTGCACTCGCTGGGTGGATCAGACCCTGGACACCCGTGTCCTCAATGGAGCATCATGCAGCACCCAGGCCTGTCCCTGCCTGACTGGCCTTGCTGGGGGGTCTCAGGCAAACTCCCCGAGCTTCCGTTTCTTCCTCTGCAAAGTGGGTTCACGGTTCTCAATGAATGAGATGGGGAAAGTGTCCAGACGCAGGAGGAAAGCTGGAACGTTATTTCTCCTTCCTCCTCCCACCCTGCTCCCAAGGTCAGAGGCCATGTACCATCTGACCCTTCAGAGGGAGGAAAACAGGAAGAGGTGAAGGAGGAAAGGCTGGTGTCCACCTCTCAATGTGTCTCTGGTTTGTTCTGTGGCCTTGGCCACCTCCCTGCCCCTCTCCAGGTCTCGTTCCCCTGCCTGCGAAATGAGGTACCGGGGGTCTGGGCCTGAGGACCTCCACAATCCTTGCTAAGGTTCAGGCACCTCGCAGAAAGAGCTGGGGTCTTTCTTCGACCCTAAGGTGGGACCTGGAAGTTTCCCATGTTCTCCAGAGGGGATTCCAACATCTCTTTTATTGTAGGTATGGAAAAATACGGCCTCACTTTGGGGGTGCTGGCAGGGGTGCAGCATCTAAGACTGACTGACTGCTGACTGGAGGTGGGGCTGCCCCATGAGTTTCCACTCCAGGTGGCCAGTCCTGGGCTGGTTCAGAGGTCTGTCTCCCGCAGGTCACGGCCACCCTCACGTCCTCTGCCAGGGTTCCAGGAGCCAGAGCTAGCTCCATTCACCTCCTTCTGCCCCAGGAAGAGCAGCTGGTCCTCGTTCGTGGGCCGGAAGCCAGGCGGCCTCTTGGCGCTGGGAGGCAGTTCCTCGGCCCCCTGTGGAGAGGAGAAAAGAAAGACCCCTTCAGAGACTCCTTTTTCTGGGTTAGCTCATCCCCCAGATGGGGACGCCGAGGGCCTGGGAGGATGGAACCTGGGCAGGGTTGCACAGTGTCCTCTTGTCCAGCGCCTCAGCCAGTTCCCTCGGTCTCCAAAGTCTCCGTCCACTTGTCTTCCCCATGCGTGTCATCTACAGTCCAGGCCAGGGGTCCTCAAACTTTTTTAAACAGGGGGCCAGTTCACTGTCCCTCAGACCGTTGGAGGGCCGGACTATAGTTTTAAAAAAAAACTATGAACAAATTCCTATGCACACTGCACATATCTTATTTTGAAGTAGAAAAACAAAACGGGAACAAATACAATATTTGTATTTGCATGTGGCCCGCGGGCCGTAGTTTGAGGACCCCTGGTCCAGGCCATCAATGCTTGCATGCAGGCCTGCCTCCATTCTCTCTCTCTGACTCTCTGCCTGTTACCCTTCAAGAAAATAAATATTTCCTCACAGCAGCTGGAGGGAGCTTTAGAACATTCCAGCCAAAGAGGTTCCTCCCCAACCCCCCTCTCGTCAAACCTATTCCAGCCTCAGGGCCTCACACTGGCTGTGCCCTCCATGGAGACTGCCCTTCCTCCGCTGGCTTCTTTCCTCCTCATCTGGGCTCTATCCATGTCCCCTCTTCGGGAGGCCACCCCCATACAGTAGCCTGTTTTGTTGTCTTCCTAACACTCACCCCCGGCCCAAGACCCTACTCTTTTCTCAGCTTAGTTTTTTTTTTAAAATATATTTTATTGATTTTTTACAGAGAGGAAGGAAGAGCGATAGAGAGTTAGAAACATCGATGACAGAGAAACATCAACCAGCTGCCTCCTGCACACCCCCCACTGGGGATGTGCCCGCAACCAAGGTACATGCCCTTGACCGGAATCAAACTTGGGACCCTTGAGTCCGCAGGCCGACGCTCCATCCACTGAGCCAAACCGGTTAGGGCTCTCAGCTTAGTTTTTATCTGCTCCTGCTAGTGGGTGTGGTATGGTGAGTGCTTAATAAATGAGGAAATGAAACAGGGAATCCAAAGCAGGGCATGAATCAGACCCCTCAGGGACGGTGTTTCCCAAACTCAAGGCATTCACATAGCAACCACGGGGCTTTGAGCAAAGTCTGTCTAGCCCAGTGGTTCTCAACCTTCCTAATGCCGCGACCCTTTAATACAGTTCCTCATGTTGTGGTGACCCCCAACCATAAAATTATTTTCGTTGCTACTTCATAACTGTAATGTTGCTACTGTTATGAATCGTCATGTAAATATCTGATATGCAGGATGTATTTTCATTGTTATAAATTGAACATAATTAACGCATAGTGATTAATCACAAAAACAATATGTAATTATATATGTGTTTTCCGATGGTCTTAGGCGACCCCTGTGAAAGGGTCGTTCGACCCCCAAAGGGGTCTCCACCTACAGGTTGAGAACCGCTGGACTAGCCCATCACATTTCCTTAGGTAAGTTATCTCCATGTTGACTCACTTTTTAAAAATATATATTTTTATTGACTTCAGAGAGGAAGGGAGAGACAGAGACAGAAACATCAATGATGAGTGAGAATCATTGATCAGCTGCCTCCTGCAGGCCCCACACTAGGGATCGAGCCCACAACCCAGGCATATGCCCTGATTGGGAATCGAACTGTGACCTTCTGGTTCATAGGTCACTGCTCAACTGCAGAGCCATGCCGGCTGGGCTCTTTTTATTTTTTGTTAACCCTCATTCGATGATATTTTTTCCATTGATTTTTTTTTTTTTTTTTTTTTGGAGAGAGGGGAGGGAGGAGGGAGAGAGAGAAAAAACATCTATGAAGGAGAGACACATCGATTGGTTGCCTCTCGCACACACCCTAACCAAGGCTTGGGATTGAGCCTGCAACCGAGGTACGAGGTATGTGCTCTTGATGGGGAATCGAACCTGAGGCTTTTCTGACTTCAAGGCCAACGCTATAACCGCTGAGCCATACCGGCCAGGGCTGAGTCACTTTTGAATTAAGTAATTTTATTTTCAGGAGAGACTTCTATCAATACCCTAAAGGCAAACCAGTTTCACCTGCCATAGATCAAAAGTAAGTGTAAAAACAGATACACTGTTGTTGTTTTTTAAATGAAAATTATGAACTTCTGCTTAGTCTTTGTTAAAGGGGATAATAAAAAGTGTTGAAGATACATCACCTCCCAACGGAGTCTCTCCACTGGTGGTAACAGGAAGTTGAGAAAGACAGTGACTGATCATCGCTCATCCACTTGAGTTATGGCCACGCCCAGAGCACCCCAAGCTACTTCACAGCTACTTTACTGTCCCTTCCCCCATTTTGGGAGCCCCGCCCTGAGACTGACCTTCACCAAGCTGTCACCCTGGGTGGCCACTTCTTCCTTGGGAGCCACTGATGCTGTCTGCGACGTGAGGTCCCACCACAGCAAACCAGGACCCAGGGCACTGCGCTTGGTTGGGCCTGGGGGTCAGAGAGAATTGGGGTCATTAAGGGAGGGGTGGCCGCAGCTGGAGGCTGGGATGGGTCGGGAGAGCTCGGATGGACTCCAACCCAAGATCTGATAGGGACCCACGGGGCGACCCTGGCAAGCCTCTGCCCCTCTCCAGGCTTCGGTTTCCTCATCTCTACACCAGTGGATGGCCAGGAGGGGCCAGTGTGTGGTTCTGTTCACAGCACGGAGACAGACTCAGTAAACGCCTGGTAAATGTAAAGTCTACACTCAGAAAGCTGAACGGGCCCTAACCGGTTTGGCTCAGTGGATAGAGCGTCGGCCTGCGGACTGAAGGGTCCCAGGTTCAATTCCGGTCAAGGGCATGTACCTTGGTTGTGGGCACATCCCCCGTAGGGAGTGTGCAGGAGGCAGCTGATCGATGTTTCTCTCTCATTGATGTTTCTAACTCTCTATCCCTCTCTCTTCTTCTCTGTAAAAAATCAATAAAATATATATTTTTTTAAAAAGAAAGCTGAACGGGTACTGTTATTACTGTTGATCTCTCTTTTTAAAAAAATATATTTTATTGATTTTTTTACAGAGAGGAAGGGAGAGGGATAGAGAGTCAGAAACATCAATGAGAGAGAAACATCGATCAGCTGCCTCCTCCCCACTGGGGATGTGCCCGCAACCAAGGTACATGCCCTTGACCGGAATTGAACCTGGGACCCTTCAGTCCTCAGGCCAACGCTCTATCCACTGAGCCAAACTGGTCAGGGCACTATTGATTTCTCTTTATCTCTTTTCACTTCTTTGTGGGGTTCAGAATTCCCTGTGGAATGCATAGCGGCCAAGGTCCCGATGAGAAGGTGTTTCAGCACCACGGACAGCATCTCGCGGCCTTACCCCACATTCTCTAGCAAGGACTTAATCTTTGGGGTGCGGGGGTGCGGGGTGTCTCCGTTTCTGCCTTTGCAAAATAAGACAAGCCCTGCAAGGTGCAGGGTGGTCCTGAAGGTGACACAGCATAAAGAGTGCAGATGTGTCCAGTATATAGTGGCTGCTTGGCCACTGGGGGCCTCCTTCCTCTTCTTCCTGCCCAGTGGGTCCTGGAGGCAGAGGGATGGACAGGGTGCCTCTGAGGAAGCCATAAGCCCTGCTTACCCGTCAGGTAGCTGATGAGGGCTCCACATAGCACGGTGCTCAGTGTGCCCAGGGCACCATAGTACAGATAGGAGATGGCGTAGAAGCTGTCAGCCAAGGTGGGTCGACCAGGGTCCATTCTGGGGGTGGGAGAGACGAGCCTGAGTCTAGAAGCCACTCTCAATCCATTCCCTTCCTTTCATCTTCACTGCCACAGCCTAGCCCAGTCCTCCATTATTGCTCACCCAGATGTGTGCAGTAGCCAAATTCTTCCCTCCCACTATCCTGCCCTCAGCTCCAGGCTTTTTCCTCACACAACCAGAGGGAGTGTTACCAAAATGTAACTCAGATAACCTCCTGCCTCTGCTCATTGCCCTCTGTGGCTCACTACTGTCCTCAGGATAAAACCATATTAAACTCTTAGAAGAAAACATAGGTGTGAGGACCTAAATAGACACTTTTTGAAAGAGGACATTCAGAAAGCCAAGAGGCAGATGAAAACATGCTCAAAGTCACGAATCATCCAAGAGCTGCATCAAAACAACAATGAGGTACCACCTCACACCTGTCAGAATGGCTATCATCAACAAATCAACAAATGACAAGTGCTGGAGAGGATTCGGAGAAAAAGGAACCCTTCTGCACTGCTGGTGGGAATGCAGACTGGTGCAGCCACTGTGGAAGACAGTATGGAGTTTCCTCCAAAATTTAAAAATGGAACTGCCATTTGACCCAGTAATACCACTTCTAGGAATATATCCCAAGAAACCAGAAACACCAATCAGAAAGAATATATGCACCCCTATGTTCATAGCAGCACAATTTACAATAGCTAAGATTTGGAAACAGCCTAAATACCCATCAACAGATGAGTGGATTAGAAAACTATGGTACATCTACACAATGGAATACTATGCTGCTATAAAAAAGAAGGAATTCTTACCATTTGCAGCAGCATGGATGGAACTGGAGAGCACTATGCTAAGTGAAATAAGCCAGGCAGTGAAAGGAAAATACCACTTGATCTCACTCATTTATGGATAATAAAGAACATTATAACCTAATGAAAAAAAAGATAGATACAGAGGCAGAGAAGTATCGAACAGACTGTCAAATTACAGCAGGAAGGCTGGGGAGTGTTGGGGGTGGGTGGGTAAGAAATCAATTGAAGGACTTGTATGCATGCAAATAAACATAACCAATGGACACAAGACACTGGGGGGGTGGGGTAAGGGCATGTGCCGGTGGGGGGGGGGGGGGTAGGGGAGGCCAGGGGAAGGTCAATGGGGGAAAAAAAGGAGACATATGTACTACTATTTGTAATACTTTAAACAAGAAAATAAAATTTAAAAAAGAAAACAATAGGTGTGAATCTTTATGACTTTGGGTCTGGCAATCATTACTTGGATATAACACCAAAAGCACAAGCAACCAAAGAAAACATAGATAAATTGGACTTCATAAAAATTAAAAATTCTTGTGCGTCAAAGAACACTATCAAGAGAAGAAAAGACAATCCACAGAATGGGGCTGGAAGGAAACTTTACTCTGGGCGGTGAGTGCACGATGCAGAATGCAGATGATGTGTTATTGAGTTGTACTCTTGAAAGTTGTATGGTTTTATTAACCAATTTCACCCCAGTAAATTCAATTAAAAAACCTAACACTTGCCCTAGCCGGTGTGGCTCAGTGGATAGAGCGTCGGCCTGTGGACTGAAGGGTCCTGGGTTCAATTTCCGTCAAGGGCACATGCCTGGGTTGTGGGCTCAATCCTCAGTAGGGGGCATGCAGGATGCAGCCAATCCATGATTCTCTCTCATCATTGATGTTTCTCTCTCTCTCTATCTCTCTTTTCCTCTCTGAAATCAATAAAAATATATTCTAAAAACAAAACAAAACAAAACAAAAACCTAACACTAACACACACACACACACACACACACACACACACAAAGACAACCCACAGAATGGGAGAAGATATTTGAAATCACACATTTGAAAAGGATCTAGTATCCAGAATATATAAAGATATAAAGAATATATAAGTTACAACTCAACAATAAAAAGACCCAATTTAAAAATGAATGAAGAATTTAAATAGACATTTCTCCAAAGAAGGTATACTTATGGCCAACAAGCACATGAAAAGATATTCAACATCATTTGTCATTAGAGAAATGCAAATCAAAACCACAATGAGATACCTCCTCACACCCACAGGGTGGCTAGAATTTTTAAAAGAGGAAATTGATGAGTGTTGGTGGAGAAATTGGAACTCCCAGACATTGCTTGTGGGAATGTGAAATGGTGCAGCTGCTACAGAAGACAGTCTGGTGGTTCTTCAAAAAGCTAAACATAGAATCACCATATGACCCATCAATTCCACACCTAGGTATAGACCAAGAGAAATGAAACGTATGTCCACACCAAAACTTGTACGTGAGTGTTCATAGCAGCACTGGTCACATTCACCAAAAAGTAGAAACAACCAAAATATCCATCAGTTGATGAATGGACAAACAAAATTCGGTCAATCCACACAAGGAAATGTTACTCAGCCATAAAGAGGACTGCAGCATTGGCAAGCACTACAACATGGATGAACCTGGAAAACATCATGCTGAGCGAGATAGGTCAAACAGAGAAGGCCACACATTGTATGAATCCATTTATATGAAACTAGTGACCCGGTGCACAAAATTCATGCGGGGGGAGGGGGGTGTCCCTCAGCCTGGCCTGCACCCTCTCCAATCTGGGACCCCTCAGGGGATGTCCGACTGCCGGTTTAGGCCCGATCACATAGGTCCCTCTTGCAATCCAGGACCGCTGGCTCCTAACCACTTACCTGCCTACCTGCCTGATCGCCCTTAACCACTCTGCCTGCCAGCCTGATTGCCCCCAACTGCCCCCCCTGCCAACCTGCTCGCCCCCAAATGCCCTCCCCTCCTGGCCTGATCGCCCCTAACTGCCTCTGCCTTGGCCCCGCTACCATGGCTTTGTCCAGAAGGACATCCGGAAGGTCTCCTGGAAGGTCTCCCGGCCTAATTAGCATATTACCCTTTTATTAGTATAGATGTCCAGAACAGGCAAATACATAGTGACAGAAAGTGCTTAGTGGTTGCCAGGGGCTGGAGAATAGGAAGTGACTGCTAATTGGCACACAGCTTCTTTTTGAAATGGTGAAAATTTTCTTGTTAGTTAGTGGTGGTGGGTTGTATAATCATGCAAATATACTAAAACCCACTTTTAAAATTACTAGTTTTTAAAACATATATTTTTATTGATTTCAGAGAGGAAAGGGGGAGGGAGAGAGAGGAACATCAATGATGAGAGAAGAATCATCGGATTGGCTTCCTACTGGGGATTGAAGCCCGCAGCCTGGGCATGTGCCCTGAACTGAGGATCCAAGGAATCCAACTGTGACCTCCTGG